TGGTGGGGGTTGGGGGTGGCTGGCCTTGCTCGGCTTCCCATGCAACCAGTTCGGGCATCAGGAGACCGCCAAGAATGAAGATCCTGAAGTCCCTCTTCTATGGCAGACCAGGTGTTGGGTTCGAGCCCAACCTCACGCTCTTGGAGAAGTGTGGGGGGGTGAACTGCACCGCTCTGCCCCTTCTCTGCCCATTCCCAGTGGTGATGCCATTGTGCTCATGGCCGACCCCAAATTCATCACCTGGTCTCCAGTATACAGCAGTGACACTGCCCGGAACTTCAAGAAGTTCCTGGTGGGCCCGATGGCTTGCCTGTGCTCAGGTACAGCTGCTGTATGTTCTGACTAGTGACATCGAGCTGACATCAAAGCCCCACTGACCGATGGGCCCAGCAGTGCCTAGGCGCCCCTCCTAGCGCTGCTTCTTGGCAGTCAAGGCGCTGCCCTCTGGGGATTTCACATCTATGCCAATGTTTTCTGTAAGCCTGCATGGAAGAATGCCTGATGTCCAGGAAAATCCCCCCAAATGGGCCCTGGTCCTGTCAACCCCAGCATCCCCCTCCACACTACAGCTTTTCACAATTAACTGAATGATGTCAGCAAAATAAATAAATAAATAAAAATAAAAAGCTCCCTAGGTGATTTAGAACGCTGGCTGGTAGAATGCTAGTCCACTCGAGTCTGTGCATGCTGTGGGTGTCCTGACCCAGCTTGTTTGAGGGAAGTAGTCACCTAGGGCCCTTGTTAAAACACTTTCCTGCTGTCTCCCTGGAGGATGTGAAAAGTTGGCCGAGCAGAGTCTGGAGTTTTTACATACCCTAGGGTGCCTGATTCTGAAACTGCACCAAAGCTTTAAAAACCTGTGGGGTCTTCAAAATTGTGATTTAAAAGGTAACTTCAATTCATAACATCATTATGACTTTAACTTTGGATTAAAAAAACTCTGCTTCCTGTTATCCTTTATAAAATATATGTTCTCTGACAACAGCATAGGAGAAAAAAATCAATGCACAGATGTTGGGAAGCGCCAGCTGTGTTTAATTTAAACTCCTTTGCTTGAATTCTCTCTCTCTCACATTCCCACTGGGCAGCGATTCATCTGTGAGGGGCTCTGGGTAGGAGCTTGGGAGACGTGACATCCCTAGGAACCAAGAGCTGTGTATTGTAAACAGTTTCTAAGATTCAGAGTTGTTTGCTTTTTCCAAGCCCTGAAATCTCTTGGCGTAACCGTTTAAGTTGGAGTGTTCATCAAGGCATACGAAAAACGCAAAACATAGGCGTCAGTGAAGAGTTCTGTGTACAACCAAATGCCACGTTTGGTGTGAACACCATTGTTTTAACAGCTCACATCTCCCTCACTCCTCCGCTCCCCTCCCCCGAATAATATTTGGGCTGTAAGAGGATGTTTTACAAATTAGACACATTGTTTACTTTTAGGCATGTAATACTATGGAGAAACGTCCTGAATCTCACAATTCAGATATTTGGGTAACAAAGTGAGAACAGATGACAGTCGACTTGATAGGATGAACTTATAACTGTTCTCTGAAGGTTGGAAATGCATATTAAACGTCTAAATATTTTTAAGTGACATTTATTATCCATTGGAATAATAAAATAGGGCAAAGTTTTCTAGTTCCGTACGGGGTATTAAATTTAGTTCTTCAAAATAGAAGTCGATATTTTTTGTTTCTGATTATAAACGATGACTTAATCTGGGGTATTTAAGGCCTAATTGTATGGCTGCCGTTTTCTAAGAGTCCTGAACATGTTGGTGGCTCCCTGGCTCAAATGATAGTGCTGCATTGAGCAAATCCCTGCAGAGCCATGTGCTTCCAGCGTTGAAGGTCATAGTTCCAGAGAAACATGTACCCTTTGAAGCTTCTCATGTTTCCTTTAGTGAAATTTGGGAGTGAGTGTAAATGGTAGATGCTAGTTTTAAGAAACCCTGGAGATTTACTTATGGGGTCATTTCACAGAAAAGAATGTTTAAGAATTGGGACCATCCTGAAATAAACCAGAGGTAGCCATGCTGAAAAGCAGTTGCTACAAAGATGGGAATCATTTGCAAAGACACTAATGGGAGACGTGCTGTTGACTTCCCTTGGTGATCTTGAGTGCTGAGCTAGTTTAATGTGTGAGCAGAGACCCTTCTGGGTGAGATTCCTTAGTCCTGTTGTTTTCTAGAGGAAGGTTGTAGCATCTTTCCTTAAGGGGCGCCACTGTGAGCAGAGTCTCGCTCCCCTTGTCAGAGCACAGTAGTTTTGCATATTGTGTTTCCAGTGTCTAGCAAGGGCGTGGCACATGGTAAGCACCTGCACTTGTTTGTGGAAATGGTTAATTTTGGAGGCCTGGAGTGTTCCAGCTGAGTGAGACACAGCAGAGTGAATTTTCTCTTCTCTCCTCTCTTTCCAGTGTTCAAAGCTTCTTTCGGACACAAGTGTTATTCAGTTCTACCCAAGCAAATTTGTCCTGATCACTGACATACTGGATACATTTGGTGAGTACTGGTCATGCTCATCTTAGACTAACTAGAACATACATGTTTTTGTTTTGCCAAAAGTTTGATACTGGAGTTGCCTCAAATTAGGTTCTGTTGTGGTTTAAGTAATTAGGCAAATCATGAGGGAACCCCCCTCCGACTCCTGCTCATTAACAAGGGTGTTATTGTTGCAAGAATCTTAAATTATGTGTTTTTTAACCTGATCGGCTAATAAAGGGAGGGAAGCAGGGCAAGCACGCGTCCTGTCTAAACCAGCCCCAGTCCCGCACCATCACGTGGCATCTGGAACTCACTTTGTCAGAACTAAGCTCAGGAACTCTTCCCAGCCCTCTCCCTATCCTCAGTGGGTTTCTGTCTCAGGAGTGGCAGTACCATGTACCTCGTTGCCCAAGCTGAAAATCTGAGAGTCTTCCCCTTATGCCCCACATCCAATCCTAAATTCTTCAATTTAGCTCCCTAAATCTCCCCAGTATGTCTATTTTCCTCTGCCTTCAGAGAAAACCTTAGTCCAGGCCACAGTCCTCTACCACTTGGGTGATGGCTGCAGCTCTTATGAGGTTTTGCTGCATCATTGTGGCTGTTCCTTGTCCCATGTGCCACCCTTCATGCAGAATGATCTGTGGGAGCCTAGCAGCTAGGTCTGGACTAAAGAGAATGACCTGAATCGCCTCTGGAGAAACAGGAGGCCCCTGTGCTGCTGGGCAGTGATTAGTGACCAGAGCATCGTGCTGTTAGCACTTTGCCCAAACCATGTAGCCCTTTAGGCTTTTGTGATGTTGAGCAGCGAAGTGCCCCACAAGAGCTAGCAAACAGAGTTGCCTTCCGAGAGCTGAACACATAGGCAGTCACAACAGAGATGGTCACTGTCTTACCAAGGAAGGACCAGTGGGCTGCTTGGGCCCTGCATCTTGTTTATAACCCATCAAAAGATCTAATATGCCAGAAAACAAACCTCAACCAGACTCCCCTGCACAGGTGACCAGGGACTAGAATGTATTAGCCAGAACAGGTGATAGGAAACCTGACTCATACTGGTTTTGGCAAAAGGGGGTACTTACTGGTTTAGTTTGAAAAATCCAGGGATAGTTTCTGACTTCAGGTACAGCTGGATTCAGGAACTCAAACATTGTCTTCAGGACCATGGCTTTCCCTTGGGTTGGCTTCATTCTCTAACTCTACAAGGCATTCCCTCAATTCCCTCAATTCCCTCAATTCCCCTCACCCTGCTCCCATTAGCAGACTGTCATCTGCCATATAATCAGCTCTGTAAATCCTTTTACTGGCACATAAGCCCATAAGGCAGAGATTCTTTTCTTATTTGCTGATACATCCTCAGTGTCCAGCAGTGCCTGACATCATCTCCTCAGCATCTGTTAACTGCTAACAGTCCCAGGACAAGGAAAGAACATTTTTCCAAGCATCCCAACAAAAGTCCCAGAATTCTATCTCCTTCACCTGGCTTGGACCACACGTCAATCCCTGAGCCATTGTGGTATCTAGGGAATAAAATGTGCAGATTATCTAGGCCTGGGTGAGGCTGTTATAAAGGGGAATGGATACTGTCTAAAAGAAGCGATATCCTGTCCTGGCCAGTGTGGCTCAGTTGGCTGGAGCCTTGTCTTGTGTACCATAAGGTCATGGGTTCAATTCCCAGTCAGGGCACATACCTAGGTTGCAGGTTCGATACTCAGTCGGGGTACATATGGGAGGCAACCTCTCAATGTTACTCTCTCACATTGACATTTCCCTCTCTCTGTCTCTCCTTTCCCCCTCTCTCTAAAGATCGATAAACATATCCTCAGGTGAGAAAAGAAAAAAGAAAAAAAAGTTATGCCCCAGCTAAAAGATAGAATCTGTCAGATTCAGATGACCCAGAGAGATGGTGTCAGGCACTGCTGGACACTGAGGATGTATCAGCAAATAAGAAAAGAATCTCTGCCTTATGGGCTTATGTGCCAGTAAAAGGATTTACAGAGCTGATTATATGGCAGATGACAGTCTGCTAATGGGAGCAGGGTGAGGGGAATTGAGGGAATGGGCAAGGGGTGGGGAGGCTACACTTTTAAAGGGTGGTCAGAGGAGGCCTTGCTAAGAAATTGATATGTGGGTAAGCAGTTGAAGGAGGGGAAAGATGAACCACATCTTCTATGGGGCTGGGAGTACAGGCCCAGGTTACGCCAAGGAACCGCTGGTACAAAGACCCTGGGGTGGCAGCATGGCTGGCAGGTTTGGAGAGCTGAGAGGCCAGGGTGGCTGGAGTGTGGTGAGTGACAGGTAGGGCAGGAGCTAACTTGCTGGAGATCCTGATGGGCCTTGGAGACCATTGGCATGTCTTGGGCTTTGAACCTGAGGACATGAGGAGCCACAAGAGTGTTAAGTAGAGCAGGATGAGCTCCCTGTGGCTTCTGTGTTGAGACTAGACTATGGAGTAAGGGTGGGTAGGGAACCCAGTTAGGAAGCCATTGTAGCACTTCAGGTGAAAAGTGAGGGTGGTATGGACCCAGGAAGGTGGTGGAGATGGGGGAAATGATCCAGAATGGATGGTTGCATTAGGCTCTCACAATAGACATCAACTCATACACTCCTTGGGCCTCCACTTGTCCTATACACAGTTTGTCTTCGGAGGGTGAGGACATTAGTGTGGGAGACAGGTGAGTGGCTCTGTCTGGTCCTCCTGACAGTTCTGTTTCTCATGGTAAATGAATACATTGGCCTTGTGGTTCCCCTCACTGGCCTCCTGCAGTTTGTTTTGAATGAGTCAGCATCCCTGGTGAGATAAACTTGGGGATGCCAGTGAGATCCAGGTTCTAATCTGCAAGCCTGTCCAGATCCAGGCATTAACCTTGTGAAAACTTTGGGCTGCCGTCCTGCCAGCCTCTGCTGGCAGTGCTCCAGTCCTTGACCTCAGCAGGCCGGATACAGAGCAGTTGCCTCCTGTCCTAGGTGGGCTGGGAGTTGACAGTAATGATGGTGATAAACCCTCAACAAATAATGTCCTTGGGCCTGACTCTTTTTTAGGTGCTTTAGAAATACTAAGTCACATTGTGTTCATAATAGCTCTGTGAGGTAGGGTCTGGAATTTTCCCCATCTCACAGATGAGGAACCTGAGGCACAGAGAAGTCAAGTAGCCCAAGTCAAAGCACCTGTTTTATTTTTCTTATACTTGGCTCATGAGGCAGTTTTGCTCTCTGTGAAAACTGCAAATGTGTATATCTTTGACCCAGCAATTTCACCTCTGGGAGTTCATCCTGTGTGTAGCAGCAGCAGATTGGAAACAACCCAGGTGGCCATCAATAGGGGATGTCTGTACATTGGAGAAGCAGGAGGCCTTTAAGCAGGAGAGAATGCTCTGCATTGTGAGGTGGAAAGATCTCCAGGTTGTATTGTCATGTGAAAAGGTCAAGATGCAGAACAGCTGTAGAACATGTTCTGTTTATGTGCATATTTGCTAGTATTTGCTTAAAGAAATATCAGAAGGACACCCTAGAAGTGAATAAAGGTGAGACTCCTCAGAGGGTGGTGGGAGCAGTGAGGTGATTGGGACAGGCCGAGAGAGAAACTTGGTCAACACCTTCTGCTGCCTTTGGGGACTTTGAACTGTGGGAATGTTTCTCCTATTCAAAATTCAACATTCAAGCAAGTACCTGCCTTCAGCACTTCTCTCCTTCCCCTCTATTTCCGATGGCGTTTTATCATCTGGATCTGTTGTGAATAGTATTTCTGAGGACAGTGGGGCAGCCTGTGCCTGCAGGTGGTGAAGAAGACTGTTATGTTTTGGAAACTACTAAGCTATTTTTCACCTTTAAAAAGGACTCTGCCTTGTTTGCATGGAAACTCGTAGTGCTGAGGTCCATCTCGTGCATCTGCTCTACAGGGAGACACTTGACCAGCCTCGGGGCAGGTGTTCTGTGGTGGTTGACAGGACTGATTTAGGGCTGGGGCATCATGCTGGGCAGGGACATGGGCCACAGCCCAGGCATCTGCAGCATGAAGGCACGAGCTAGGCTCTCACAGATTTCACAGAGGCCCCGAGCACAGAGCTGGGCTCAAGAATCTGCCCGCATTCCTTATCTTGCCTCCACAGTTGTGTGAACTTGAGCCTTTGTTTCTTCACCTGTAAAATGGGCATGATAGATCCTGCCTCTGGGGGTTTCTGGAGAGAATTAGATGAGAGTATGGGTAGGAAGCATATAATGTTTTTCATCTTATAATTGCTTTCTGGCAGAATCAGTGTCAACTTTGAATAGTGCTGGGCACAAAGTAAGTGCTCAGAAAATGTTAGCGGTTATCACTGTCGTCGTTTGGGTATTTTAGTGCCTTTGATTTATTAGAAAGTAGATCAAGAAAGGAAATAAATCTGGGCTTGGGTATTATTTCTCAAAAGTAATTGTCCACTGGCTTAATAAAGGGAAAAAAAAAATTCACCAAACTTGTTTGGCCAAAATGATTTTGCTGTTAAAGGCCCCTCAGAATATGAAGGTGAAATATAAAAATTATTTGGGGTTTGATAGAGGCGGCAAGCTTTTTGTGGAGAAAGTACAGGCATTTCATGCTCTTCAGGCTGGTCTATGTGCCATAGGAGGTGAGAAGTTAGGCAGCTGCCCAGCGTGGCTCACTGTGATGTCCCAAGGTAAAATTGTACACAGTCCCAGTGCCTGGTTCTGTGGCTGTCACAGAGGCAGCCTCTTACTGCACCAGGTGAGGCTGCCGTGGGGAGCCCAGTGGCCGCAGGTAACGAAACACTTCCTGCAGGAGGACAGAGGCAGGTGGTTTTGAGAAATGGGATGTGTTCTCTGAGGCTTCCTTGTTTCTAAATTGAAACAAGGGTTTGGAGCAGTGGTTCTCATCCTTGGCTGCACACCTGGGGAGTCTTAGAAACATTCCCAGTGGTCAGGCTGCACCCCAGACCATTTAGATCAGAACTTCTGAGGATGGACAGAGGCATCAGCATATTTTCAAGTGCCCTGGGTACTCTGAATGTTCAGCCAAGGTTGAGGACTGCTAGTTTAGAGAGAAGAGGAAGAAGGCTTTTGCTGTTTTTAGACTTTGCCATACCCAAGGCAAGTTTTAAAATTAAAATGGTTCCTGCATGAATCAGTGGTTCTTGTACTTGAATGTGTATAAAAATTCCCTAGCAAGGTTATTCAAAATTCAAATTCCTAGTTGTCACCTGACAAAATGTTCTTTTTCACATGCTTTGAGCTGGGCCCCAGGAACGTGCATTCTCAGCAAGTGTCTTTAGGTGGTTGTGGTGTAAGTAGTCTACATTGACAGAGACACTTAGGTGGCCCCTCTTAGCTTGGCGGGCTTCTTGCCCTTAATCCTAGTATTGTGCCGTTGTTTGATGATGTCATTTGATCTCACATTGTTTGACCAGAAATGGTCCTATTAACTTTTATTGCCCTGAATGATGGAGTTATAGAGGGAAAAAGAAACACAGGGGAATATTTTTTACATTAAAGATGATTTGGGAGGGTCCAGAAAGTAAATAGAACTGTAATTTTTATCCCTTAATATTGATAGCATTTTCTAAAAACCATGCATGGAATAAACAAAACTTTTTGTGCTAGGTTAGGGGTTAGCCTGTAGACCAAGTCCAGACTACCACTTATTTTTGTAAATAAAGTTTTATTGCAACACAAGCACATCCATTTGTTTGCATACTGTCCATGGCTGCTTTTGAGGTACAACAGCAGAGTTGAGCATTTGCAATTGTATGCCAGGCACTAATCTGGGTACTAGGGATATGTTAGTGTCCAAAACAGACACAAATCACTACCCTTGTAGAACTTCTAGTTGAATCTCAAATTCTGATGCTTGTGGGCACCAGGCAGATCACATAAATGAGTGAAGCAGGCTGGTGATGAGAGACAGTAGGGAGTGGCGGAGACTGGCAAACTGGGTAGTCTATATGCTATTTTAGGGCAGCTACTAATCTGTTCTAGCTGATTTTTATCTTAAAGGGGCCACATTGTATGTGAAGAAGCAGGAAATCTGGGTTTTCTCTTTCTTTAATCCTTACCCAAGGAGCTAGGAAATTTTTTCCCATTAATTTTCTAGGGAGAGTGGAAGGGGGGGTGGAGGGGAGAGAGAGAGGAGAGAAAACATCAGTGTGATAGAGACACATCGATTGGTTGTCTCCCGCACGCACCCTGACGGGGCAGGGATCAGACCTGCAACGCAGGTACGTGCCCTTGACTGGGAATCGAACCTGGGACCCTCCAGTAAGTAGGCTGATGCTCTAACCACTGAGAAACACTGCCCAGGGCGAATTTTAATTATTACATGTTGGCAACTAATTTAAAAAATGTTAAAACATTTTGTGAGCCATCGTGTGGGATTCGGCCTACGGACTGCCCATTTGCAGCCTCTTGTCTAGAATGCGATATAGACCATTCTCTGTTGAGTGAATGGAGCTATATGAGGCTGCTTTGCTCCTATGTTCCAGTTAAGACTCAAAGTGCAGACTGATGCTTACCTGCCTCTCACAGAAAGTAAAAGTCCCTTCTTATATTAACAACAAAAACAAAGAAATGTGGCTTAAAATTTGTCCCATAGGTGGCAGCATATTATCATAAGTTAAAGTTTGTCTGCGAGATGTCTGTGGCCCCAATTAACAAAGGTTTATTTAGTGTTTACTTCTGCAGAGAGTGATGCTGTCTTTTTCTCCCCAGGAAATCTCGTGTATGAGCGCATCTTTTCCATGTGTGTGGGTGACCGCAGTGTCTTACCAGGTAATGTCGCTGTTCCATGGGTTTTATTCTGGCCTGGAGTCAGGATTAGGTTTATGTGAAGTCAGGATTTATTGAGATCTGATATAAAATGTTTTATTTTTGGTGTATTAAAAGTATAAGAAACATCTTTACGGATTATTGATCATCTGTCTTCTAATAACATCAGAAGGGTTTCAGACAGCTTGGCTAGGAGTTTGGGCAAGTACTTTGTGCAAGAATGAAAAAGTGTTGCATTTAGATTTATCTGAACTTTCACATCAACTTAAATTCCTCTGCTGCTTTACATTTTAATATTTTTTTCTATGTATCTTTCCTAAGAAGCAAGTTGCTTTAAAAAACCAACTTTGTATATATTAAAGAACAGTGTCAGATAAATCAATAACAGATGCTTTGCCTCTACAGTCTTTGCCCAAGTGATGTTTGCATTAAATTGATTGCCAGTCAATTTTAAATTCTCAGGAGGTTATCGTGGGAGTAGAGTATGAATTCCTTTTGTCATATAAATGGTGATGATGTGTCTGGTAACACGGAACTCACAGTGGCAGCTTCCTTTTCCTTTCCCTGTTTTCAAATTTCTAGCTCTGCTGTAAGTAAACGTTCTTTTCCACACAAACTGGAAGAGGTTTGCCTTCCCTCCACTTTACCTCCTTCTGCTCTTAACCAGGCGATGGCATTAGCAACAGTAGCCCATAATTTGACTTCTTCATTCATTTATTCATTCTTAGTTTCTTTCATTCATCTATGTATCTGTATTTTAATTTTAATTTTATTTTTTTAAAAAAAAAATATCTTTATTGATTTCAGAGAGAGGAAAGGAGAGGGAGAGAGAGAGATAGAAACATCAACTATGAGAGAGGCATTAACCGGCTGCCTCCTGCACGCCCCCTACTGGGGATCAAGCCCACAACCCGGGCATGTGCCCTGACCGGGAATCGAACCCTGATCTCCTGGATCCTAGGTCGATGCTCAACCGCTGAGCCACGCCTGGCCAGGCTATCTATATTTTTAAAACTACTCAGTATACTTATTTCTCAGAAAGAGACAGAACCCTACAGACCTTTAGGGCTAGAAGAGCTCTTAGGAACCATCTTGTCTTATTGTAGATGGGCAGACCCAGTGCAAAATAGTCAGGGACTTGCCCACAGCCTTGCTGCCACACTGCTGAGGTGCTGGACCCGCACTGTCCTTTGTGGCAGCCACTGGTCTGTGGGGCTCTTGAGCATTTGAGACCTGGCCAGGCCAAACTGAGATGCGCTATGAATATTAAAAAATACAGTGCATTTCAGAGACTTAATACAAATAAAAGACCATAAAGTATCTCACTAATAACTTTTAAAACTTGGATTATATGTTGGAATGGTATTTTGGGTGAATTGGGTTAATCAAGTATAAATTTACCTTTCTTGATTTACCTTTTTGAATGTGGCTCACATGGTATTTCTATTGGACAGCAGTGTTCTAGGTCCCCCCTGCCACCACCTCACATCTGTGATATTTTTAACAGTCCCTCCCATGTTCTAGGTGCCAAAATTGGGAGGCCGTGAGTCTGGCAAGGTAGGCAGGGCCTACCTGATGGAAAGGCCTTCTCTGTCAGCTATTTGGGAAATCCAGGCGCTTTTATTTTACACTTGCCAGCTTGTCCTCCATGAGCTATACCAGCAGCGGTACACTCTCAGCCTGTAGGCAGAAGTAAACCCAGTAGGTGTTTTCCTTGGCTATAGCAGTATTTTAAAAAATGTCTTTTTGATACAGGTTCTGCTACTACCTATTGTTGTGTACCTAGCTGCTTAAAAATATTTATATTATCTGCCTGTCTCCCAGAGGCATTTGAGTTTGCATCTGCTATAATTATTTTTCCTCCCAATTTTTTCTAACTATACAAACAACATTTTAGATCCAAGTAAGAAAAAATTACTAATAACCCACTCCGTACCTAAACAGTAAAAGTTCAAGATAAGAGGGGATTTTCATATTCACTTCCAATCCTTATCTAAATCATTAATTAGCACTTTTATCACGAAAACTCTTCCTTCCCTGAAATGACTTTTTTTTTTTTTTAACCTTGAGCAGTGCAACTCAGGCTTTTGTTTTCTTGAAAATAATTTCTTCATTTTTTTTCTCGCTTAGCTAAAATCTGCATCTGCATGTATTTTTTGGTTCCAAGAACTTGAAAGGGAAAGGGATAATCCTTTCTCAGAAATGTTAGTAATCTCTGGGATATGACTCTTAACAATAATTATGAAGAAGACTTTTGAAATCTCCTGGTGCAGAATTCTGCCTAAAGAAGTGAAGTGTTGAGAGAAATCTGGTGGCAGATGTACTCATTTTTTCCATTTGAATCAAGTTCTGACTCGTGAGTTTATTTCTGAGCCTTTATCTTCAGGTTTAACTAAGACATAGCTCTTTTGATTTTAGAAAGACACCAGCATCCTTTGGGTTCATGGAAAGGATATGCTACTAGATGTATTTATTTCCCCCCCAGTATCTCTTAATCTAGCATTTGTGTGAGGAGACCATCAGCTCTGTGATACAATTTTGTTTTCATCTTGGGAGAAATAATTTAGGTTTATTGTGGTTCTTGTCCACAGCCTTGAGCATTCATTCCCATCTTGATTTTTTCCCCATGACTGACGTGGGCCACATCTGGATAAGTGGGGCCCTTAACTGACCTGGCCTTCCAGGCACCTGCTAAGATCACATTGCATCCTTATAAGCACTGTCACATAAAGAGACCTCTCACTGCTACTGTAGAGACTTGGCAAGTGACAGAGAACTAGACTTACTGGTTTCCTCCCTCCTCCTAAAATAGCCAAAGAAGGTTAAAGTTAGAAAAAGAAGCACCATAGGAAAAATAACTTGGAACCCAAAGGAAAACCCTCTGCTGTTTGCCACATTGAAGTCTCTTAATGAAATTCCAAATTCTGAATTCATTCCCCATGTAGCAGCCCAAGTGCTAAAGTATAAATCATGTCATGTCATCCCGCTGTTCAGAACTCTTCAGGGAGCTTTCGTAGCACTTAGAGAAACTCAAACTCCTCACCAAGGATACAACCTGTGTAACCTGGCTTATGTTGCCTGCTTCTCTCCTCCTTGCCACCTTGGCTTGATTTCCTGCTCTTTCACCATGTCAGAGGTCATTGCCACCTCAGGGCCTTTGCACTTGCTGTTTCTTCTTCCTGCAAATATATTTTCTCCACATCTAAGCATGGCTGACTCCTTGTTTCTTTCAGGGCTCAGCTCAAATGACACCTCTGCAAGAGCCTTCTCTGACCACCCGATCTAATGACCCCCTCCTCCCCCCAGTTCAAGTCACTCTCTAGTCCAGTGCCTAGTTTTATGTCTTTCACTGTGTGGACTGCTATTGGATATTATCCTACTTGTTTGCTTCCTATTCTTTTCCCTGTTTGTTATGTTTCGTCCCCCCACTGGAATGTAAGTTTCATGAGGACAGGGTCTGTCTTATGTACTCTTGCCCTTTCAGAGCCTAGAGCACTGCCTTTAGTTGGTTCTTAAAACATTTGCTTTGAGTAATAAAGGAATAGAATATTTAATTTGCTGGAATATTTTAAAGTCTTGCATGACATAAAACTTTTCCTAAATGTTTTCTTGAGCTGGTAATGCAGATTATTATACAGCTGTAGTCAGTATGTATACCCTTTGCTGAATCCACAACTGGAAAGTACAGGGTTTTATTAGAAGACCTTGGAGACTTATTTTTGCTTTGGGGTTTCAAGTCATATGATTCAGTCATATGAAGGAAAATAACCCCACCTCTCCATTTTCCACAAGGCAATACTGACAAAGAAATTTCAGAATAATTCTTATATTTTCTTGTCTGGATCTCTTGGAACTTGAAAAAGCATTAAGTGCACAGATTCAAGCCATGAAAGGGAAAATGGTAATTTCCCTTCCCTTCGAAAATGGCAAAATAATTTGGGAATGAATGAAGCATGCTAGAATATACAAAAATAGGTTAATACTTGAGATTATAATTCAGAATATCAGCAGTTGTGTTAGTGACTGCTCTCTGCTAGTGAAGTACCTAGAGGTTTATGTTTTTGCTGATTTCATGGGAATTTTGATCACCTTGAATTATAGCAGAAAGCAGAATTAGGGGCAAAAACTGACTCAACTGCACAAGATGAGAACCAAGAAGCCAACATTTTGCAGTATTCTAAAGTAATTAACTTCCCCTTTTTGATAGAATCTTGAAAGTGTAGAGCACATCCAGTGGGCAATCAGGCTCCATCTGTATAGAAATCATTTTGGAGAAGTCATTTCCATGCCAGAGGGCAACAAAATGGACTTGCTGTTGATGAGGTGTTTTTTCTTTTCTTTTCATTTTTCTGTACTTTCTTCCATTTCTTATTAAGATGTATGCGTCAGCATTGGGCTTGGGTGTCTGTGCCAGAAAGCTCAAAATAACAACAGAGGTCAGGGCTGGTGGGGCAGCTAGCCCATGGTGCCAGGAATCCTCACTTCTCTCATGTTGCTCTCATGGTTCGAGGTGGTTCTGGAGTTCCAGCCATTGCACCTGCATTCCACCCAGCAGGAGGGAAGGAGTGAAGCTATTTTATAAAGCTATTTCCTAGAAGTTGCACTTCTGTTGATGTCCTGGGACCAGAACTTGGTCACATGGCCACACCTGCAAAAAAGTGAGAGTTTTATCATTAAAGAGGAAGAGAACGGATAATGGGAAAAACTGGCAGTTTTGCCACAAGGTGACTCAAGTCTGAGAGCTAGCAGCCTAACTTTGGCTGTTTTCTCACCTGAGTGCCTTGATTTACCTTCAGGTCTGGTCCAGGTGCTGTTCAGAGCACAGGCTTCAATCACATTTCATGTTACAGTTGCAGGTTCCTAAAGCATCTGGAATTCTCCACAATATCATCATAGTTACTGGTGGGTACACCAGGAATGATATTAGAGCAGTGGCTAAGAGTGTAGGCTGTGGAGCCAGGCTGCCTGAGTTGAATTCCAGCTCTTAAATTTGCTTGCTCTGTGCCTTGGGCAAGTTGCTAAATTTCTCTGTGCCCTGGAAAAGATGATCATAAAGGTATATACTTTGGAGGGCTATTGTGGGGATTAAGTGAGCTGACAAACACTCTGAAAAGCTCTCATTGTCACCAGTTGTTTCCTAATAAGTAATATTTGGAAGGAAAGGAATAGAAGAACTAGGCACCCCACCCCTTTTTCTGTTCCATGTCCTATCCTAGGACTCATAGCAGCTGTCACAGATCCTGAGAATTAGGACGGCTAATGGGTATTATTTTTGTATTACAGATCACTTCTCTCCAGAGAATGTAAATGACACAGCCAAAGAAACATGCTTAAATTGGTTTTTCAAGATTGCTTCCATCAGGGAGCTCATTCCAAGATTGTATCCTTTTTTTGTCTGATGATTTTAAAGAGGCAAAAAGAGTTACACTGTTAACAGAAGGCCTGTGATGGGATGCCCCGAAACTCCTGTTGAGAAGTTGGTCCCATGATGGTGCCAGCCTGAAAATTCGGGGCCAGCCACATTCCAGAAAATCCCTTGGCCTCTTGCTTTCTTCTAACCGTTTTCTGGTTTTTCACTTTGACTATGGTGCCATGTACCAGGCTTTTGTTTCCAGTGAGGAACATCCCCACATTAATTCTTTCCATTTAAATGGTTTGTCTTCATGTGTTTTTTGTGGTTCCAAGAATTTGAAAGGGTCAAGCATCTCTGCACAGATTCCAATATTGAAGAACAGAGAATTCACCTTATACAGAAATTGAATTTTAGTTATCTAAAGTTCAAGTTTTCCCTGTAAAGTCTTGATTGGAAATGCTCAAAACCCAGTTTGAATTTCAGCATGCAACCATGAATCAGCATGTAACAGTTTCCAAATTTTATTTTAAATAGGTATAAAACCTTGAGAGACAAATAGAGAAACCACAAGCCACTAGGTAATTTAGTTCTTTGGGTTGTTGAGAGCCACTGTGGTTCCCTCTTCTGAAGACACACCTAGTTCTGTTCACAGTCTCCCCATGGAGAACGCGCCATCTGGAAAATGTCTTTCTTAACAGAATGTTTTTGTAGTTACGTGGAAGCGTCCATCCTGAAGTGTAACAAGTTCCTCTCCAAAACGTAAGGCTCCTCTTAAATGTCCAGAACCCTAACATTTCCAAAAAATCAGTTTCTTCCCCACTCCCCCCACCCACACAGCAATGGCATTGTAATAGTAGCTGTTATTTGGGTCCTTAGTGGCAGATCTTCCATGCATTTTCTTATTTAATCCAAATGAAAACTTAATGAAGTAGACGTACCATTTTAATCCTCATTTTACTGTTCAATAAACTAAAGCTAGGAAAGGTTGGTTGGGTAGCTCATAGGAGATCAGCTCAGCTGGATATAAATCCTGGATCTGCTATTACTACCGATGTGGTCTGGAGCAAGTTGTTTAGTGTCTCTGGCCCTCAGCTTCCTCCTCTGTGAACAAGATCCTAGGAAGAGATCTCTGAGGGTTCGTGAGCTGCACACACCTGGCAGGCAGTGGCTCACACTCTGTTTGCTGCTGCTGTCTAAGGTGGGTGATGACGATAGCATTGTCAGAAGCCAAAGCCTTTGCTCTTGTGCTCCAGCCTACTCTGAGAGAAGTTTACAGAACCTGGGGAAACCAGATCTTTCTGTATAGCCGTGGGAAACCCTGAGTCCTTTTGGGTAGCATGTAGTTAATAAACTCCTCAATGCCATCACTGACTCAGGGTACTCCATAGAGTAGTTTGTTTGAGTTTAGAATCTAGTGTACCAAATGTGTTCGACTGGGATCTAGGGATGCCTGGGGTCGTCTGGAGGGAACAACACTGGTGTGGAAGAAACAGTTATTTTTGCCTCATCAGTTGGGGCAAGATAATGCCCCAGGCAGAGGGAGTCAGTCCCATGTTGCAGGAGAAATAAATAAGGCACAGTTCCCACTGATGGTGGGGTGCAGGTGTCAGGGGCTGGGAGGGAGCAGGGCACCAGACAGTAAGTCAATGCCAAAGGAATAGACAGGAGTGGGCAAGGGTAGGTTTACAGTTGTAAGTACGCAAAACAGAGTTTATTTTTATATTATTATTGATAGTAATTATTGTATTATTTGTATTACAACAGTAGACTTCCTTTTCCCCATCCCTGTAGATAATGGTGAGGATATCGAGATCAAGGAGTATCCATCCACAGATAATAATTGAGGGACAAAAACTGCTAAATTAATAACATAAATGTGACCTTAGCAGGAAAAAGTGAAGGTTAGACTCCAGCACTTGCAAATGGTGAAGATGAGAGAAACCATTCAATGAGTGAATTGTGAATGAGAGAAAGACTGTTGTTACAGAGCCTTAGAAAACTGAAACTTTGACCTTGGTTTGTTCCTAAAACCTGATTCGACCCCCTCCCCTCCTAAATTTAGGAAATTTGACTTTGTCTTTGTTTTAAAAATGGAAGTGCAGGGAGCTCTCATGTGGCGTGTAATGCTGCCTCTTTTGTTTCTAACAGGGGTATCTCAGAATGTCTGCCCCGCCTGACGTGCATGATTCGAGGGATCGGAGACCCTCTGGTGTCTGTGTACGCCAGGGCCTATCTGTGCCGGGTAGGTTGCATTAATTGCGCTCACAAATGTGGCAGTCTCTTCTCCTTCAATGTCCACATAGGCTTTTTTTTTCATTGTATTTTTTATCCATCACCATTTATGCCCCCTATACCCTCTTCCACCTCCACCCACCCTCCTTACCCACAGTCACCACAGTTGTCCATGTCCCGGAGTTCTTTCTCTTTTTTCTCTTTATTTGCTCAATCCCTGTCCCCCAACCCCTGCGAAGACACCCCCACCAGAGCTGTCTGCCTCTTCTCTATGAGTCTGTCTCTATTTTGCATGTTAATTCAGTTCATTAATTTCCACACGAGTGAAATCATATGGTATTTGTTTTTCTCGGACTGGCTTATTTCACTTAGCATAATATTCTCCATTCCTTTTTATGGCAGAGTAGTACTCCATTGTGTACTACTCTCCTCTAATCTACTGATCGACAATTGGGTTGCTTCCAAATCTTGGCTTATTGTAAATAGCATTGCAATGAACATTGAGGTGCCTATATTCTTTCTGATTGGTGTTTCAGGATTCTTAGGATATAGTCCCAGAAGTAGGATTGCTGGGTCATAAGGCAGTTCCATTTTAATTTTATGAGGTAACTCCATACTGCTTTTCACAGTGGCTGCCCCAATCTGCATTCCCACCAACAGCACACAAGGGTTCCCTTTTCTCCACAATTGTTGTTTGTTGATTTATTGATGGTAGCCCTTCTGACAGGTGTGAGGCGATATCTCACTGTGGTTTTAATTTGCATTTCTCTGATGATTAGTGACATTGAGCATCTTTTCATATGCCTCTTAGCCATCCCTGTGTCCTCTTTGGAGAAGTGTCTATTCAGATCTTTTGCCCATTTTTAATTGGATTGCTTTTTTTGGTGTTGACTTTTATAAGTTCTTTATAAATTTTGTCTATTAACCCCTTATCAGATTTATCAGCGAACATGTTCTCCCATTCAGTGGGCTGTCTTTCATTTTGTTTATGGTTTCCCTTGCTGTGCAAAAACTTTAGTTTGATGTAGTCCCGTTTATTTTTCCTTTTGTTTTCTTTGCCCAAGGAAATGTATCAGAAAATACTACTACTATGACAAATGTCTGAGATTTTACTGCTTATGTTTTCTTCTAGGGTTTTTATGGTTTTGAATCTAATATTTAAGTCTTTATTCCATTTTGAGTTTATTCTGTGTATGGTATAAGAAGGTGGTCTAGTTTCATTTTTGTTCAGGTATCTGTACAATTTTCCCAACACCATTTATTTAATAGACTATCTTTAGCACATTGTAGGTTTTTGCCTCCTTTGTCAAATATTAATTGATTATAAAGGTGTGGGTTTATTTCTGGGCTCTCTGTTCTGCTCCCATTGATCTATATGTCTGTTTTTAGGCCAGTACCATGCTGTTTTGATTACTGTGGCCTTGTAGTATTTGATATTAGGTAGCGTGATTCCTCCAACTTTGTTCTTCTTTCTCAAGATTGCTGTCGCTATTTGGGATCTTTTGTGGTTCCATATAAAATTTTGGAATATTTGTTCTAGTTCTGTGAAATATGCCAGTGGTATCTTGATAGGAATTGCACTGAATTTGTAGATTACGGCCCCGCTGGGCGTGGCTCAGCGGTTGAGCATCGACCTAGGATCCAGGAGATCAGGGTTCGATTCCCGGTCGGGGCACATGCCCGGGTTGCGGGCTCCATCCCCAATGACTCTCTCATCATTGGTGTTTCTGTCTCTCTCTCCCTGTGCTGCCCGCTCTCTGAAATCAATAAAGATATATAAAAAAATTAAAAAAAAAATTTGTAGATTGCTTTAGGTAGTATGGACATTTTAATGATGTTAACTCTTCCTATCTGTGAAGGCAGTATATGCTTCCACTTATTTGTATCTTCTTTAGTTTCTTTCTTCAATGTATTATAATTTTCTGAGAACAGATCTTTTACATCCTTGGTAAAATTTATTCCTAGGTATTTTATTCTTTTTGAAGTGATTGTGAATGGGATTATATTTTTAGTTTCCCTTTCTGATAATTCATTATTGGTGTATGAAAATGCAACTTATTTCTGGATATTTATTTTATATCCTGCTACTTTACTGAATTCATTTATCAGTTCTAGTAGTTTTTTGGTGGAATCTTTGGGGTTCTCTATATACAGCATCATGTCCCATGCAAATAATGACAGTTTTACTTCTTCCTTTCCAATTTGGATGCCTTTTATTTCTTCTTCTTGTCTTATTGCTGTGGCTAGGACTTCCAGTACTATGTTGAATAAGAGTCATGAAAGTGGACATCTCTGTCTTGTTCCCAATCTTAAGGGGAATGCTTGTAGTTTCTGCCCATTGAGTATGATGTTGGCTGTGGGTTTATCATATATGGCCTTTATTACATTAAGGTATATTCCCTCTGTTCCCACTTTGCTGAGAGTTTTTATCATATATGGGTGCTGGATTTTATCAAATGCTTTTTCTGCCTCTTTTGATATAATCATGTGGGGTTTTTTCCTTCAATTTTTTATGTGGTGTATCACGATTGTTTTGTGGATATTGTACCAACCTTGCATCCCTGGAATAAATTTCACTTGATCATGTTACATGATCTTTTTAATGTATTGGTGGATTTGGTTTGCTAATATTTTGTTGAGTATTTTAGCACATAGTTTTATCAGGGATATTGGCCTATAATTTTCTTTCTTCGTCATGTCCTTATTTGGTTTTGAAATTAGGGTAATGCTGGCCTCATAAAATGAGCTCGGGAGTCTTACTTCCTCTTGAATTTTTTTGAATAGTTTGAGAAGGATTGGTATTAGTTCTTCTTTGAGTGTTTGGTAAAATTCACCTGGAAAGCCATCTGGTCCAGGGCTTTTGTTTGTTGAGAGTTTTTTTTATTACTGTTTCAATTTCACTAGTTGTAATTTGTCTATTCAGATTCTCTGATTCTTCCTGATTTAGTTTTGGAAGACTGTATGTTTCTTTGAATTTATCCATTTTGTCCAGATTGTCTATCTAATATGTTGGCATATAGTTGTTCATAATATTTTCTTACATTCCTTTTTATTTCTTTGGTGTCAGTTGTTACTTCTCCTCTTTCATTTCTGATTTTATTTGGGTCCTCTCTTTTTTTCTTATCAGTCAGGTTAAAGGTTTGTCAATCTTGTTTATCTTTTCAAAGAACCAGCTCTTAGTTTCATTGATCTTTTTTGTATTTTTTTTTTTTAGACTCTATTTTGTTTATTTCTCTTTTGATCTCTGTTATTTGCTTCCTTCTTCTCACTTTGGTCATTGTTTGTTATTCTTTTTAAAGTTCCTTTAAGTGTAATGTTTGATTGTTTTTTGAGATTTTTCTTTCTTGAGGTAGGCCTGTAATACTATGAAGTTCTCTCTTACAACTGCTTTCTCTGTGTCCCACAGATTTTGGATTGTTGTGTTCTATTTTCATTTGTTTCAGGGTATCTTTTGATTTCTTCCTTGATCTTATAGTTAACCCATTTATTATTTAGTAACATGTTATTTAACCTCCATGTCTTTGTGTGTTTTTCAGTTTTCTTCTTGTGATTGATTTCCGGTTTTATAGCATTATGGTCAGAGAAGATGCTTAATAATGTTTCAGTCTTCTTAAATTTATTGAGACTGTTTTGTGTCCTAACATGTGGTCTATCCTAGAAAACAGACTACGGGCACTAAAAAAAATGTATAATCTGCTGCTTTGGGGTAAAATGCTCTGAAGATATCCTTTAACTTTTGCAATTTTAATTATGATGTGTCCTGGTGCGGGCCTCTTTGGGTCCATCTTGTTTGGGACTCTGTGCTTCCTGGACTTGTGTGTCTTTTTCCTTCACCAAGATAGGGAAGATTTCAGTCATTATTTCTTCATATAGGTTTTTAATCCATTGCTCACTCTCTTCTTCTTCTGGCACCCATATAACATGTATGTTGTTATTCTTCATGTTGTCCCAAAGATCCCTTAAACCATCCTCATTTAAAAATGTGTTTTCTTTTTGTTGCTTTGATTGGGTGTGTTTTTCTACCTTGTCTTCCAAACCACTGATTTGAACCTCTGCCTTCATCAAGCCTACTGTTGATTCCTTCCAGTGTATTCTTCATTTCAGATACGGCATTCTTTATTTCTGACTTATCCTTTTTTATGTTTTTATGTTCTTATTCATGCTGTTGTAGTTCTGAGTTTCTTGAACATCCTTATGACCACTACTTTGAACTCTATATCTGGTAAACCGCTTTCCTCCATTTCATTTAGCTCTTCTCCTGGAGAATTCACTTGCTCTTTCATTTGGGGCCTGTTTCTTTGTCTCCCCTTTTTGGCTGCCTCTTTGTGTTTGTTTCTATGTATTAGGTAGATCTGCTGTGACTCCCAGTTTTGGTGGGGTGGCCTTATGTAGTAGGTGTCCTGTGGTACCAAGTGGCACAGTCTTCCTTATCACCTAAGCTGGGTGCTCTAAGAATGCCCTTTGTGCACCTTATGTGGACCCTCCTGTTGGCCCTTTAAGAGGGTATCTGCATTTTTAGCCACCTCTCCCTGGACAAGAAACCGCACTGCTTTTCACAGCCAGATGTTATGTAAGCATCTTTCCTGGTTCTGGTGCTCTCTGAGCTGGGGAGCCCGGCTTGGGGTTTATGCTGCACATTTCTCAGGATTAACCTCCCACAGCAGATATATCTCTCCGGAACTTAAGCTGCTGCCCATGAGTGCCTGGCCAGCCCTCTCACACCTCCACACCTACCAGCCTCGTGTGGTCTCTTCTGTAAGTATTTGGTTATAAGGCTTCTCCCCACCTAGTCTTCAGCTGGTTATTCAGGATGGTTTTTCTGTTTCTTAGTTGTAATTTCAATTTGGTCCTGAGAGGGGAGTGTAGCTTCCACTGAATCCACTGCCATCTTAGATTCTTGGACATGGGCTTCTCCACCACTGCCTAAGTCACTGAAAGAAGGACTTTATTAGATGCTAACTTTAGAGCATGGTTCTTCCACAGAGAGCAGAGCTGTAGGATTTTCTCTTAAAAATAAATTTTAAGCTAGACCCACTTACTGCCACTCTAATTAGGGGGCTTTTAAGGTCATCTTACAAATGAACTGGTTTTTAGAATTAATTGTTTCTTTGTTCTTGCTAGGAAGGAGGCTCCCAAGGCCTCTCAACATATGGGTTGCTTTTCATTGACTTGAAACATGCTTTCTCTCTGCCTTGAATTTGACCGTTATATTAGTTTTTCTGTCCTCATCTTCAAGAGCTGACTCAGTGTGCAAGTTTGTGTGGGCTCTTTGGCAGGGAAAGGTGCTCCCTGTGATGACAGGCGTTAGGATCTGTAGAGCCTGGTTGAGGAGGGCTGCAGGCCCATCTTCGGAGCTGCTCTGGTGGACAAGGTGGTCCAGGTGGTAAATCACTTAGCCTTTTTGTCCTTTAATGCACCATAAAGCTTCTACTTGAGACTGTTTTCTTAAGTTATGAAAAGTGCAACCCAGGAGAGTTTAAAGTTATTTTTCTTCCACTCATATGGGGGCTTTGCCTCTGTCAGCTTTCAGTGGGATTCCTCCTTGCCTGTCCCATCGGCATCAGTCAACTCTAAAGAGGACTTACTGCCCCTTCGGTAGGTTCCTGATGAACCCCAGTCTTCCTTGAAGGCAAAGCCACATAGATCTGTTGTAGGAGGCAGGAATGGCACTGGACATTTGACCTGTGGGGTCGGACTGGACCTGGTTTCAGCAACCTTGGTACTTGAGTTGTGGCTAGGAAAGAATTCAGAGCCAAGACTGAAAACTATAAGAGAACACTTATTTATAAAATCAGAGGTAGAAGAAGCAATTCATAGAAGAAATGGGCTTAGGAATATGTTATAGGGGCAAAGGAAGGGCCCTAGGATCTTGGGAATGAGGAAGCTAATAATGGTAATGTGCCGAGGGGTGGGGTGGAAAGGGAAGGGGAAGGGAAAAGGTCCAGGCATGCTCCCAGGAGGGAGAGTGCACTGCATGCTCCCTCCTAAGGGTTTTATGGGTTGAGATTTTAGGGGAGGTCCTAGGGGAAGATCTCATTATAATATTCATCAGCTTTCCAGGTGTGTTCTTTCAGGGTCTAGGTCTCTACAGGTTGATTGGTTGGCTACAGGGCTGGGCTCATTATCCAGTGCAGCTGGTCCTGAGGTCAGCCTTGGGGTTACTTGTCTAGTTTTGCTGCTGTTCCGGGCCTGGAGCTGAAATACAACTGAGGCCTAGATGTTATCTCTAGGGAGGAAAGATCAGGGGAGGGTCTGAACCACATTACCAGAGATATGAAAGGTCAGGGTCCACACTGCATGACCAGCCATATGCTAGGGGAGGAAAGGTAACCCTGGGGATGAGGTCCCACCCCACAGTTGTCCATTTAAAGGCACTTGGGGCTTTCTGCCCTGTGTGACCTTCTGTACCTGGCCCACCATCCTTGCTCTGCTCATGTTTATCTAACTGCCCACCACAGATCCTCCTACCCCCCGCTAGTGATTACTTATAGTTTTAAATCAGGAGGTAAGAAACAGTAGCCTCTGATTGACTTCTTTTATGTGACATCTGCCTGATGACTGAAGCTCTGTAGTCTCAAGTGTCATGAAGAAATCAGGCATTGCCCTCAGAGTAAGCAACAGATATCCTTATGAAGGACACTTTCTTAGGTCAGCATCTGATACTGAGAATGACAGAAAAAGCCTTCCATTGCAGGGCCACCTGTGCCCCTTTCTAATAGGAAAGTATGCATTGCCATCTGCTTGAAACTTGAGGTGGACTTTTCATAGAGAAGTATTGGGTATGTTTCCTATAGCTACAACTTTGGAATATATTGAAGCTTAAGTACTCCTTTGGAAGCTTTGTTCACTGCGCCTACTGTGCACAGAACACAGCTGGATTGGGGTTGATACCAGGATATCCCTATCTTTTGCATATTCACAAGTGCTGCCTTTCCTCCTGCAGAATGGAGCAAAGGCCTTAAACTTATCTTGACATCAGTTGAATTATAATAGAGCAGCAAAGATTTAGAATTACCATGTGTCTTATGAAGATGTTCCTGGTTTTTGAAGAGAAATCAGAAAAAGGGGAGAAATACCCATTCCTTGAAGACCTGTTCATTTTTAAGGTTTGAAGTAAGGTATGCGAGTAAGAGAAAAGATAATAATTGTTGCATATAAAGTGCCTTTGAATGACAGCTGCGACTTGAAAACTCACTCAGTGACAGTGAGGTGGGATTGCAGCCCCATCCCAGGAAGACAGGTGATGAAATGCACTGCATCTGTTGAAATCATTTTATCCAGGCAGGGCATTAATTCCCCTGATTGGGTAATTACTAAAAATTTTTAACAAAAAGAATGAGTGTGCATTAGTAAGAATTCTTACAGTTTGCAAGTGACAAAAATCCAATTCATACTACTTTAAGCAAAAAGGGAGATTGGCTCTGAAGTCTCTGGATAGCGTAGGCATGGCTAGATTCCTGTGCCTTAGAGCATTGTCAAGAATCACCGTCTTCGTCATACTCTGCTTTCCTCTGGATTGACTTTTTTCTGAGACTTGTTCTTTCCATATGGTGACCCCCAGCAGCTCCAGGCTTTCATCATTTCAACTTAGGAACCCAGTAGAAAGAGAGTCCCTTTTCCCTGGTAGTTGTTCTAGTCAGTCTCCTGGCTGATTTGCAGTGTACTATCTTGGGTCACTTGCCCATTTGTGGACCAGTCACTGTGGCCATGGGATGGAATATGCTTACAGACTCAGCCTGGTCATGTGCCCATCCCTGAAACTCAGGGTGGGCCAGGTCCAGCTCTGCCACAACCTCCTGATCCTAGAGGAACATTTGATTCCCCACAGACAAAAACAGTGAGAACAAATGCCAGGCGGACAGGAACAGCAGATGGAAATCATGAGCAACTACCCTTGTTCCTCTGGGTAGAAATCTTTCAGACCCACAGATTTCCAAGCTGCTCATTTGGCTTGGTGGGAAGAGGTAAACAAAACAGAAAAGCAGTGAGTGGGCAGGGCAGGAGGGGAGCTCAACACTGTTTATTTAAGGAAAGTTTGAGTAACTCCTCTTCTGAGTCAAGGCCCTTCCAGCTCATCTCTACTGCTTGTCCACTGGGCCTTTCTTTGCTATCACCTAACAGGTAATTATTTCCTTTCTAAGATACAATTAAGTGGAAGGAAAGACAATAGAATAAAAACATAGGAGAACTGGATCTGACATTTCCCCAACAGCCATAGAGCTGCTCTTGGAATTTAACACCCCGTGAATCTTGCATAATCCTTCTCAAAGAAATTCTTCACAGCCATCTTAAAATCATCACTATTGTTAATCTTCATGCCTCTGGGTAGGGAGGAGGTGAGTGGCAAAAATTTGTCCCTGTTGGAAAAAACTAGGTCCTAGAAAAGCAACTTTCCTTACAAAGTTGTTTTTGCGCTAAAGCCAGCAAGCATCTGAGGTATAGCTGAGGAGCTTAGTTTAAGGAACATTGAGATGCTTTGTTTTGTTTTAAACACATGAGCTCCCCTCCATAGCTCTCACCTTCACATTTCCATCCAACGCCAGGCCTCTGGCAACCTTCTCTCTGATTAGCAAATTCTTTCAGCTGGGAATGTTAGTCTTTTTTTAAAACAATGAATTTAGGAACCAATGGATTATTAGCATTGCTACACTTCATGCTTATCTTATATAAAACTTCTTAAAATATATTAAAATTTCTCTGCTTCCATGACTGCCCAGCAAAGAATGAATCCATATCTTTTAACAATGCAACAGTGAAGTCCCTGTTGACTCTCTTACATACCATAATCCATGTGTGTTTATCACTTTTCAGAGAGGAAGAGAAAATTGTACACGTACCGTGAGAGTACGTTCCTCCTTAGTGCTGTATTGATTTGTTCTCATGGTCATCTGTTCAGAAATACATTCATTACATTTGGGAAATTGCAGATATGATTACTGCAAATATTGTTCCTTATTTATTAAAAATAGCTACTGTGGTTTTTAAAAAAATATATATTTTTAAATATGTCTTTATTGATTTCAGAAAGAGGAAGGGAGAAGGAGAGAGAGATAGAAACATCATTGTTGAGAGAGTCATTGATCGGCTGCCTCCTGCACGCCCCATACTGGGGATTGCCCACAACCCCGGCATGTGCCCTGACCAGGAATCGAACCCAGATCTCCTGGATCATAGTCAGTGCTCAACCGCTGAGCTATTCTGGCTGGGCTGTTGTTGTTTTTTTCTTTAAATCAATTTTTAGAGAGAGAGGAAGGGAGAGGTATAGAGAGATAGAAATACTGATGAGAGAGAAAATGCATCAATTGGCTGACTTCCGCACACTCCTTACTGGGGAGTTGAGTCCACAATCTGGGCATGTGCCCTGACCGGGATTTGAGAATTGAACCGTGACCACTTGGTTCCTAGGTCGATATTCAACCACTGAGCAACACCGGCTGGGCTGCCTCTGTATTTTTTTTAAATGAAAGTAATACATGCTTATTGAATAAGAAAATAGGTAAGCAAAAATAATAAAAATGAACTTTCTGGACTTCTCTATGCCTGCATATATCTGTGTATATTTTTGATTTACAAAAATGACTCCATACTGGTATGTATTATTTGCAGCCTGTTTTTTCATAGTTAAGGTAATTTCATTTTGTTCGCCTGCAGGTAGGAATGGAAGTGGCTCCACATCTCAAAGAAAGCCTAAATAAGAACTTTTTTGACTTCCTCCTTACATTCAAACAGGTAGGAGAACACTGTCCGAACAGCTAATTGATATAACAAGTTACATGATCAAAAATTCACAAAACCCAGTTGCTTTTCCAAGTTGAGATTGCCTTAAAGCTGTTTAAATGTGTAAACCCTAGGAAATTACTAGTGTCTGTTATAGACAATTGAAAAGTGTTGATTGTACTGAACAAGCAGAGAGAATTAATATGCATTTCTTGACAGGAAACATCTCAAGTTGATCAGACTTTCTTTTTAACACCCGCTGGCTTCATATTTATCAGGTTACTTCTTTGCCTAGTGCACATTCCCAGAACAGCTCAGCTTGGTGACATGGAAAACTTTGCTTGTTTTTTCTAGTTTTAAAAAAACCTGGGAAACCAGGTTATTTCTGTCAGGGTCATGCGAATGCTTACAAGTGCACACATTCTGTGAGTTACATGCTCTTTGTTTCTAATGTTACTTTTCCTCCTGTCTGTTTATTTGATCTCCTGCAGATTCATGGGGATACAGTACAGAACCATCTGGTGGTCCAAGGAGTGGAGCTTTCATCCTACCTGCCCTTGTACTCGCCTGCCATGGACTGGATCTTCCAGTGCATTTCCTACCGTGCCCCCGAGGTAATTGCCATGCGACCTCAGTGTGAAGTTCACCATGGAGGAGAAGTGCTGAGGCTCTTCTCTCCTCTGTATTGTGTTATGATGACCTCTACACCAGTGTGCTCTGGAAGGTAAATAGGGCGCTTCCATAACAGCTATAGCAATACAGTGCTAGCCGGCAGCTAATAGAGGGCTCGCCATGTGGCTGTTTAGTACGCAGCACTTTTCCTAATCATCTTGTTTGACAACTCTGGGAGGGGGGTGTGGAAGCTCAGAGAGGCCAAATACTTACATATGGTCACACAGCTAAAAAGTGGTATGACTGGACATAAACCCATGGAATCAGACTTCAGGGCCAACAGGCTTCATTGCCTCTTCACTAACCTTCATGCACAAAGTCTGTAGAGCAGGTAACATTTTCCCCATTTTATAGAAGGAAAGTGAAACTCAGATATGTAATTGCTTTTATAAGATTTTTCTTTTTTTTTTCGGGGCGGGCGGTGTCTAATTGAAGCATTATCAGGAATTAGAGTGAAGTCAGAATCATAGCAGAAATCTTTTCTTCCCCAAATCTCAGAAGCATTTTCAATAGAATACCAGTTCAGATTGTCATAATAATTATGAATGATGAAGCTTTTTTGTCTTCTTATTGGTGGTTGAAAATTTATTCTGTGGGAAAGAGGAAAAGGAGCCTTTCTACAAAACAAGGATACATAGTGCAAATACAAATTCAAGTATCCTGCCTTTTCCCAGAAACTGCAAACACATATTGGCAGCCCTAAAGCAAAAGAAAAAAGGTCATGACTTTGACTAAGCAATCCCACCTTTAAGAATATCGCATGGAAAAAACTGGACAAGTGCATAAACCACACACGTACATACATATGTGTAAGTTTAGTCATGTTAGTGCAACATTGCAGACAGGCACCACAAGGGGATTGGTTAAATCACGGTATATGTGTTTTCAGAGAAAAACGTGTCTCATCTCCCCTGGTTGTTGCTGGGGGTGCAGTCCTTGCGATATCCCAAAAAAAGGAATTTTCTGAGACTTGCATAGGAGGATGCGATATAGCAGAGAGCTTTATTTCCGTGGAATTACACCCCTGGGTATTCTAAGTCCCATTTCCCTTAGTCCAGTCATAGAAGTGTAGCTGGGGTTTTAGTAAAGCTAAGATCAGAGCCAGTGTCCAGAGTTTCCATGTTGGAGCCGGGTCAGATACAGCATTAGGCTAGTTGCAGTCCATTAGTCCACTGTGTGTGGGGGTCTGCATAGCTGTGGGCCACGTGGGAAAATGCCAGGAATCCAAGTGTGAGCCATGAGCCAAGCATGCCAAGAGGAACCAAGAGAGTGAACTTTGTTCAGGGGATTAAGTATCCTAAATCTCGAGCTTGCAGTGGCCATGCCCATTCTGGCCAGTGACTTCTGTTCCCAGCTATGACTGAGAGGCAGGTATCTTCCCTATGTCATCCCTACTTTTTTGGACGTGTGTCTGTCTTCTCTTTGGTGGATCCCTTCCCCGGTGCTTTGTATGGAGCATGTCTGTAATGTCTGGCCTTTCCTTTGCTTCTTTTCTGTTATTAATAACTAGTCAGTTACAATGGTATACCATTTCCCCCTTAGAGAGAGTGAGCCTTTTTGTAATCTTACAAAGGATAGATGGATGAAGGTCTTCGTCTTTTTGTAGCTGCTTCCTGTTGTTAAGGGCGTAGGTCTGCCTACCCCAAGTCTCAGAGGTTCTCCCCTATCTGCTAAAGGAAGAAAGGAACAAAGAGGGAAGGGGCGTCTTCATGCAGGGAAGAGGGGTTTTGCCAAGTCCAGGTCAGTCTGCTCTCCCTGGGAGGGGACATGAGTGATGTCCAGGAGGATGACCTGTTGGACAAGCTGGCATCCTTGTTGTACTCTAGAAATGACAAACTTGACAAGAAGGTTAAAAGGCAAAATTCAAAAGTGAGATTTAAAGCAACTAAAGGTCTTGTGAGAGGTGAAAACCTATGTGGTACAGAGAAACATTAATTTACAGTGTCCCAGGTTAGGTTAGAGGAGTGGCTTCCCTGGAGGCAGGTGTGTCACATCTGTCTGAGGCTCTTTTGCCCACCATACTTAAATTAAGCTAAGGGAAATATTCTAAGATTTCCCCCGTGAGAAACTGTGGGCCTGTTCTGTTTGAACCGTTTGGGCAGAAAAAGGAAAGCAGTTTCAAGTGAAGCCAATAGACCATCCATGGTTCATTGACTCAACCATAAGTCCAAACCGTTGAGTCTTGTATTTCAGGAGATGATGATGCAGATGGCTTCTAAAGTGAGGCCTATATTGTGTGAGCAAGTAATTAGGTAACCAAGGACATAGACATACATTCTATGAAAACAGAAGGAAACGAAATACAAAGGTTAATGTACATAGCAAATTATAAACCAGTTGAGAAGACTTTCAGATGCAAGGCTCCTGTTGGAATGAAAGTGCAGTGACAGTGTATTCAGTGGAATTTTATGGGACCATTTAAAATGATGCCGACTTGTGCTGAAGATCTGTATTTACTGACTAAGGGTGTTCACAGTATAGTGCTGAGTGAGTAAAGGAGGCTATACATATTGCTCTGTGTGTCCTAAGTTGTAGTGTGGCCTAGTGTTCAAGTGTGTGCCCTCGAGTGGGGATGCCTGGGTCTGAATTTCAGCTCTGTTTACAGCCATCAGGGTAAAGCAGAGGTCAAGTCACTTGTCTCTACACCCTGAGCCTTTTTTCTCCATCTGTAACATGGGAGCGAAATAATTCCTGTTTTCTAGCCTGTTGCACGGATCAAACAAGACAGTCCATTTGCAGTGCTTCAGGGAGTGCCCCACACATAGTGTCTGAATGTTTGCTGTGCCATCAGGATTACAAACATCATTTGTATATTCCCATGTGGGAATAAGAAAGATACGTCAGAATATGGCTGGAGAGTGATTTTAGATCATCTTAACTCACTTTTCTTGGCTTATGTTTCCTAACTTTTCAGCAAGTATAATGCATTTTTTGGGTATTTTTATATTCCCAAATTCTAAAGTATGAGGAGAAAATAGCACATCTTGTATGTCAGGTGAATTTTTTAACATTAAATAAATTGACTTTTAATCAAGCCATTACACATAGAAGATTGTTTGAAATTTGCTGGCCATTCTCTATGATCTTAAGCATAATCTCAGTAACCAAATGCTGGCGCAGGCTCCTGGGAAGAGGTACCATGATCTTGCAGACAAGGACCACCTTACCTTTCAGCTAAAGATTGAAACACATGAGCAAACTGGCATATTTGAAAGTGAGAACACTTATTTTCTCCCCGTTTATTTTAATGAAAGGCAAAATCAGATTTAAAATAAAAGGCTCATGTCCTAAGGCATTCTTCCTTTTATTTTAAGCACCAATAATCTCAAAGGATGGCAGAAGCTGGGAAGAGCTTCCCTCAGGAGTAAAACTTAGGAAATCATTACTGCACTACAAGAAGTGATTTTAAAAAATTAGGTCACCTGAATAGTAATAATCTTTGATTCTTGGGGCACTTAAATAAGGAACGTAAGGTGTCTTGTAAAAAGAAGTAATCATTTTTAAAATGTAGAAGAATGGATGTCAGTGTGGAGGATGGTGTTGAAAATATGTATGATAGTATGATGCCTAAAAGCTCTTTGACAGTGGCTGGGTTATGTCAGCTGGGGAGTTAGAGCTGTGCATATGTCTTTAACAGGTCACACCTCCAAAGTGGGATTGTCAAGTTTGGCCACAGTATTTGGCAATATGCAAGACAGACAAGAGAAATATAGCGGAAAGGAGCACCATCTAGATGAGAGGAAGGAGAAATGCCTTGAGCTACAAATATCTGACACACAAAATTTCAAAACAAAATTGAAATACAGAATACACCCCTCCCCTGAAAATCGGGGAGTGATTCAAAACAGCTTTTTTGTTGTTGTTTGATGACAAGCTTCCTTCCCCTTATACAATTAAAATAAAATTATAGTAAGTAAAAAACAGATTATGCTCCCCATTTCAGGCACATTCTACACATGTTGACTAAAAGTGGTGAAAGTGGACATCCTTGTCGTGCTCCTGATCTTAAGAAAAACGTTTTTAGCTTTTGACCCTTGAGTGTGATGTTGGCTGTGGGTTTGTGATATGTGGCCTTTATTACATTGAGGTATGTTCCCTCTGTTCCCACTTTGCTGAGAGTTTGTATTATAAATGGGTGCTGGATTTTTCAAATGCTTTTTTTTCATCTATCATCCTTCATTTTGTTTATATGCTGTATCACATTCATTGATTTGCAAATATTCTACCAGCCTTGCATCCCTGGAATAAATCCCACTTGGTCATGGCGTATGATCCCTTGAATGTATTGCTGGATCTGATTTGCCAATATTTTGTTGAGGATTTTTGCATCTATGTTCATCAGGGATATTGGTCTATAATTTTCTTTTTTGTAATGTCTTTAGCTGGTTTGGTATCAGGATAATGCTGGCCTCGTAAAATGAATCTTCCCTTTTCTTTAAATTTTTGGAATAGTTAGAGAATAATAGGTATTAATTTTTTGAATGTTAAATTCACCTGTGAAGCCATCAGGTCCAGGACTTTTCTTTGCTGGGAGCTTTTTGATTACTGCTTCAATTTTGTTAGTAGTTATTAGTCTCTTCAGATATTCTGTTTCTTCCTGATTCAGCCTTAGAAGATTATATGTTTCTAGTAATTTATCTGTTTCTTCCGGGTTGTCTAATTGGTTGGCATATGTTTGTAGTATTTTCTGATATTCCTTTGTATTTCCTGATGTCTCTCTGTTTCTCTTCTTCTCACAACAATCCCTTTAGCATTTCTTGCAGTGCTGGTTTGGTGGTAGTAAACTCTCCTAGCCTTTTTTTGATTTGGGAAGCTCTTTATTTCACCTTCAATTTTGAATGATAGTCTTGTTGGATAGAGTAATCTTGGATTCAGTCCCTTGTTTTTCATTAGTTTGTATACTTCATGCCACTCCCTCTGGCCTGAAGTAGTTATATTGAGA